CCAGCGCGAGCACGGACCCCCCGAGCAGTACTTCGCAACATGTTATACGTTCCGGCGGAGTGTACACTGCGATTAATTTGCCTGTTGATTGAAAACTATTGTTAAGTTGGTAAATCGTAGATTTTTTTTAAGTAGCATAAAAGCACGTTTCTATAACTTAAAGATTGTTGTGTGATTGTCGATTGTTTCGCAATTCAACTGTTTACTTGCACAACTAAATATCGAGTAGTGTGTGCAACCATGTAAGTTCATAGGAATCAAAGCGAGATTAAACAGTTTTGCGATAATTTAGTCAAAGGTGTGCGCAGACTCTATGTGTCTATATGGCAGGACATTAACTTAACGAAGTAATTACAGAGTAATACATTTATTATTTCAGTGTTCCTGTAACATTAAGCAATCCTGTTATCCCCTTTATAATTTATTTAACAATCAACTTTTCATAGATTCTTTGTAAACAAGTTAGTATGTACAGTCGCGAAAATCCGCGGTATTCGGTAGAAAAAAATGCCTAACTAATTAACTATTTATGTAACAGTGAGTGAAAAAAAAGGAAACTAGTTTACCGTGTATCACTAAATGAATTTTATTCGTACAGACACATTTACAAGCATCTTGTTTCAAAATATTCAAACGATTGTGTCTATTAAGGAACACCGTGACTTTCCGTGATTGTACATATAAGGACTAACCTTCGAGCAGGATATCCAGTAAGTTTTGTTTATCCAAGTATACCTGTATGTAGGTCCCAGAGTCTAACGGAGAGGTCCCTGGCGGCGCGGTCCGCGGACAGCAGCACGGCGCCCGCGCGGCACAGACGCAGCATGGAGGGCGCGGCCGCGTGTCCGCGCAGCGTTAGACGACAGTTGCCTAAACATAGATTAGTTTCAAATAACTACATTTTAACATGTTTATTGCGGCAAGTGTGAAATCATTATTCTTCATCTGGGATGGCGTTCCAAAATGCGCCCCTAATGACAATTCCGCCAGCTTGGTAGGTCGTTTTAGACCCACCAGCACTATCCTAGATAAATTGCTATAATTTGGAAACACATTACATTTTATGTAATGTGCACACCTGGGATAATAGTTTCGCACTAGCGACAGGGACATAGTTTTCTTCTTCCGCACTAGCTTTAGTACTACGTCGGGCCGATATCGGCCTGTTACGCATAAAGCGTGTTAAAAATGATCAACTGATGCTAGATTGCTTATAAGATGAAATCCACACTAAAATTTTGACTAACAAATTTAAGGTAGTGACACTTGATCATGGTCGTAGCCAGGCGTAGTGGGGGCATAATAGTCAAAAGGGGGACTACTAATAAAATGCTTTAATTTATTTCCAAAATTAATGCTAATAATAAATTAATAAAAAACTGATAAGTCATTTTTAAATTTAAGAGATAACGAGTATCTAGATGCAATAGGATTTTTACAATTTTCGGCTATATAGGGGCTTTGCCCCCTTTGTCCGCCCCCGGGAGCCACTTACAGTATCCATCCACTTGATGTAATAATTTTGCATTGGTTAAAAATGGTAAATATCTTCAGAGAATTAGATCATTAATAACTTACCAGTGACGAGATCCCAGACCAGTATCCTGGTGTCCTCAAGGCCGGAGACGACGCAGCCGTCGGCAGAGCTGATGGCGAGCGCGGCGGTGTCGCAGCCGGGCTTCCACTTCTTGAACAGAGTCCCCGACTGCAGGTCGTATACCACGATGAAGTTCGGAGTCGGTTCCTCCAGCTCGCGGGATACCACGCACACGTATGAACCTAACAAACAATAATTCCACAGATAACTGTTGTGTTTAGTGTTATAGTTTAAAATTTAGGAAAAAAATGGAAAAAAGAGAAAAAAAAACAGAAAGTAACTCATTAATGTAGGATTGCACAAGGATTATGCAACAAAAAAAGAAAAAAATATAAACTCTGCAAAAAAGAGTACGGACCAAGAGTCTGTATTGATTAAAAAAAAACAACAATTATAAAAAAAAATCTACTTTTCTGTCGTTTTCATTGGTGAAGGTCGTGCTTGTCCTGGTAATTCACCGAGTTATGTACCTGCCTCCTCACCAGCCTGTCTTTGGCTCGTCTCGGGGCAAGTCGTTAAGTCCCAGTATAAACTGGCCTGATCGTTCCATCGGGTAGGTGAACGGCCCCGTGACCTTCGATCTTACCCACCACTACCAATTTATCTTCTCTTCCCAATTTTCACTTTTATGCAAAGGGAAGTGGATTTGACAGGGGGGGAAAGTATTGGAAAGGGAAATATTCCATGCATGTCTTCAATCGATAAGGTTGAACACATGCGGATAGCAAAGGGCAGTAGACGCTTCGCTATTTCGGCGAATTCAGGTAACTTACCTTCGTATGTGATAGCAGCTTTAGACGTGATGAAGTCGTGATGCGGTATACGAAGGTCGTACAGCAACTTGCGAGATGTCAGCGACCATACTAATAGCGGGAACGGCTTCTGAGTCTCGTCGCCACATACCAATATCCTAGAAAACACTAATATTATAAATATGAAAGTTTAGATGGATGTTTGTTAGAGTTTGTAGCCTAAACTGAACGGATGTGGATGAAATTTGGCACAGAAGTAGAACATAGTCTGGAAGAACACATAGGATACTCGCTTTTGGTTTTTTAATTCCACGCGGAAAGAGTCGCGGACAAAAATTAGTTACAGTAATAAAGTGAAATTCAACTTTCCAAATATTTGTAGGAATTGTTATTTAATTATTCCTACAAATATTTTGCAATACCACGATTACACTGAAGATAGGCGAGAAGTGGAAGCAATTCCGAATTTCGTCTGATAAGTGTGGTGCCGGAGGCCAGATTTTATTCTCTTTTTTTTCTACCCTTTTCTTAAGAGGAAAAGATGGGAAGGAAAAGTGGATTTGACGGTGGAGGAGACGCATGGAAAGGGAAAATGTCGTCTTTATGTGGGTCTCCTCCGTCAATTAAGGATAGGCAACGCATCTGCAATTGCGGATGTCTATGTTCAGCGGTCGCTTTCCATTTCGGTGGATTCAGGTGGCCGCTTGCTCGTTTGCCACCTTATATTATAAAAAAGAAAGATATATATATACACAAGAAATACATTTATTGAAATATAAATGAATGAATGAAATCTTACCTTCCATCACCGGACACAAGTAGAGAGTTCAGAAACCTGTCCTCTCCGGCTTTGAATGTTGTTACACAATCACCTACAAATACATTTACGTAAATTATTGGGGATATAAAAACAACGGATTTATATAAAACAGTCTGAAATAGTGCATAGTATAATTCAATATATTTAATTCTACACGAACGAAGTCAGGAGTCTAGGCTAGTCTACCGGTACCGATTTTAACGGAGAGGTAGCTGATATTTAGGGTTACTATTTAAAAAAATGTTTGAAATAGCAAGCAACACCTATCTTACTAATATTACAAATGGGAAAGTTTAGATGGATGGATGTTTCTTAGAGTTTGTAGCCTAAACTACTGAAAGGATCTCAATTAAATTTGGCACAGATGTAGAAAACAGTCTGGAAGAAGACGTAAGCTACTCTTTTTTTTCAAGCGAACAGAATCGCGGGCGAAAACTAGTTAATAAATGAAACTACTAACCTGTTTCAATATTCATCAAATTGACGTACATCCTGTTCCGGGACAAGGCAACTAGATGCGAGGCGTCGTGCAGCCCGTAGTATGGCATCTTCTGGTTCATCACACCCTTCAATGTTACCACGAACTTACCCTTAAAAAACATACAGTCGAATTAAAAACTTACAGAATGAGGCTACGATCCAGGCTACAAACTCGAAAAAAAAGGATGTCGGTCATAAAATTATTAAAATTAGGCTTGTGTGGATATTATAACTTTGTCGAAACATATACATTTTATGTAATGTAATGTATACATCTGAAATAATCATTTCGCACTAGCGAGAGGGATATAGTTTTCTTAAGTACCGCGGCAGGCCGATATCGGCCTGTTTCAAAAGTATCCGAATAAACCCAAGGTTTTTTAATAGGGATTGTCGATCTTGATACCCAGTTCACAGCCAGTACAGTTGAAAAGTTGCGATGGCCTAAAATTGTTTGGACTAGCGCCATTTAGTACACTATGCCAGTTCATTGCCAGTCCAGTTATTGAGTACTAACTGTGCTGGCCAAATGTAAACCGGGTATGATAACGATAACATAAAATTGTTAATATAAACCGTTACCCCGCTCTGTCTCCAAGTGAGTATTAATAGTTTCATCCGTCCCACCTTTAATCACACTATCTCTAATAAGGTGACAAATGGAACCGTCATAAAATAAAATAAGTTCCAACGGTCCCCTAGTCGCAGAAGGTGGGACGGACGAAACTTTTAATTCTCACGTGGGGACAGAGCGGGGTGACGGTTGGGAATAATCCAAATATTAGTGGATTTTTAGTTAATTTACTACTATTTCTTTAATCGTTCCTATTCAAGGCTATGCTAGGAATATGGTTTAAAACAGTTAAAAGGGATTCGAACCCTCGACCACGTGATCGATAAACCTAACCCCTAACCATTAGGCTATTGGCGCTTTAACACTTTTTATTTTATTTTTTTGGTGGATATTGTAATCAAAAATATACACATATATATATATATATCCTTACCTGATCCAGGTCATAGACTCTAAGTTCTCTCCGGCAAAGCACTACGCATCTGTACTCGTCTATCGGCACCAGGTTTATAGGATGTGTTACTCCTGTCAACTTTCTGACTAATTTACACCTGGAATAACATTTATATGATTTTTACCGATGTTTATATCTTACTAATATTAAAGATGTAAAAATTTAAAATAAGGAGTAAAAGGTTAGAGTAGTATGGGCATGTTATGAGAAGGGATGAATCGCATGTTACAAGAAGGATGTTAGTTATGAATGTGGAGGGGTACATCGGTAGAGGTAGACGTAGAAAGAGATGGATGTATTGCGTGAAAGGTGACATGATCAAGAAGAGAGTGATGACTGAGATGACGGATGATAGAATGCTTTGGAGGACTGGTGCGCCGACCCTACGGGAGTAGGATAAGGCAGGGGAGATGATGATGATGATGATTAAAGGTGTAAAAGTTTAGATGGATGGATGTTTGTAGACTAAATTGCTGAACGGATCTCGATATTTGGTATAGATGTAGAGCATAGTCTGAAGGAACACATAGGCTACTTACTTTTGTTTTTTTTTTAATTCTAAAGCTAGTAAAAATTAAAATCAAAGTGTTTGAAATAGCGAAAAAATCCAAAACACGATGAATTTGCGTTGATTATAATAAAAAAATCGTTTTATTTTTTTGTCTATGTCTATGACCGGAAATCGCGTTTGATTGCTAGTTACTTTGTTTTTTTTTTTTAATTCTGCGTTGTTCAATTTCCGTGCTGGCCATTAGTTTAAGATAGTTATATTAATATGTGTTAAGAGTTTTTTTTTAATGTTTATTATTAAATTTTTAAATTACTCACCGACTAACATCCCAAACGCATATCTCCTCTCTCTCCGTAGATATGGTAGCAATAAATTTCCCTCTTGTATCAAACCTCACGATCAAATCAAAAGATTTACTATCAAACCCTTCGACCATAGACATATCCCTTCTCTCTCTATTCTCTACCACTTTCCAGAAATCTTCATTAACAGGATAAAAAGTGGGAACAGGAGGTTCCCAAACTTGCGCCATCCATTGTTCTACTATCTCACTCTCTATCTCTATTCCTTCTCTCTTCCTCTTCTCTAACGTAGTTCTCAGAAGACCATAGAATTGTCTATGGTCGTAATCTAACGCGTACGAATGCGTTTCAAAGACATCTTTTAGTACTTCTAAATGTTCTGGCAAAGGGTCTATGTGTACTAATGCGATGTCTTCCAAGTAATGACCACAGTCAGTTGCCGCTAATTTATCATGAATCCAGTCTAATTTAGTAAAGTATGGTTTTAGTGAGAATGTTTCTGGGTCGTCTTTTAGTAAATGATAGTGTTGGAATGGCAGTTCGTCTAGTTTTCTTGTGTTGTACCTGAAAGGCGTGTAATTTTTAAGAAATATTCCTAGTATTGGTCAACTTGTGTATTTTGCTTAACATACCAATCCTCGGAGAATTTGTTTTCTTGTGATATCAAACGGCCGGCCATTTTAGGATCATTTTCAGAGTACCACATACCCTGGAAAATTAAACGTTCAAATAACTTTTAGAACGGAATTTAGTACCGATTATTTCGGTGTTTTCCCGCTTTTCAAGTCCGATAATGGATTGAGATTGCTAAGACAGTCTCAACGGAGAGTTTAATTGTCAGAGATGAAGGACCACTTTTGTTTGCTACACCAAGTTAACACATTCATTAAGAAAAATTGTGTTAAGATTATTAAAAAAAACTTTTAAACCAAGTAAAGTGCTTACTCGGATTATAGTTCCGCCTCACTTAATTCCGAACCGGCATTTTATGTGTTAAGAGCGTGCGTAAATCGGACAACTGTTATGCGATTCACGCAGCCTCAACTGTTGAGTTGCACAAGGAATCAAAGCGCGAGTAAACAGTTGTGCGATAGTTTAGTCAAAGGTGTCCCGTTCTTAAGTATTGTGTACTAGCTGATCCCGTGCGGCTTCATCCGCATAAAATATAGAAATCATTTTATAGTTCACATTTGTCAAATTATCAATAGCAAATGTCAAACTGAGATGACATGACAAACCTTGGCAATCTTGTTTCCTTGATATTGGCAGCAACTTATGGTCTCTTTCCCACATTCCCTAATTTTTATTCAAAATATTTACCCCTTAACTTAGGTTAAATGGCGTGAAAATATATAGCCAAAGCGTGACTTAAGTGTAGGGCTTTTTATTAAAAAAAGTATTATTCAAAAATATGGTGTAATTGCTGACATGTTAGGCAACAAAGAAGTGTGTGTTTACGCTTTATTATATTAGTATAGATTACCTCGTAGTATTGCACAAGTGTGAGCCGAGGTATATGCGGCGCTGGTGCGAGGTATCTCTCGCTGGCGGCGGCTGCCAG